CCGGACCGGAATTGAGGTCGGGAGTAAACATGACGTCTTCAAAGAGAGATAAATAGATAGATACACGGCACCGTCCCATGAAGGAACCGCCGGAGCCGGGATAGACCGAGAGATGAGCACACCCCAACCAGGGAGGAGGTCAACCAAACAGCCTAACCGACCGGACTCAAACTTCTCTATATCGTACAGGACATAATAATCTGTACCGTGAGTGAACATTCAATGAAAAAGACCTGATGAGAAGTCTGAATAATCGAGATAAATGCAAACTGTGCGCGTCCAAATCTCAACAAATACACCTTCAACCGTTCGCAGAGTCACAATCAGACCCCTCTCCATCACTCTCATCATCCGTCATATCATGTTCAAACACCTTCATACTTGTTTTCACTTTCTCTCTCCACCTCACGACTATATTGAACGACGAGCTTCGAGCGCTTGGCGATCAACGTCCTCATCTACAGGCTGTGGTCGTCCATCCTGAGTCAGTCCAGCGTACCGATCCGATCGTTCCCAAGCTCTGTTCCGAATGAATTCATCCCTTTTCTGTCCCTTTTTTGGACAGTCCTCAAGAGTAATGAACTGTTGTGCATGCTGGAGTGCAATTAGACGCACGAGGGCTTCTTGAAGACCACCATCGGTCACCTGACAGGTATGATCCTCTCACTCTCGAGGCCAGGTACAACATTGTACATCCAGTCCATAACTCAGGATTGTGTCGTTGGAGGTAAGCCACCAGTTAAGGGCACAATATGGGTTTCGTGCTCTTTCTGGTACTGTGAGCTTGGATAGTCGGATGGATCGCTTTCTTCTGGGCTGGGTTGAAGTTCAAATTTCGCAGAGCCTATGTGTGGAGGCTCAGCGGTCAATCTCAGTAGTATATCTTCGCAGCTCCATTGGCATGGGATACTCTTGCTTGTCACACAAAAGTTCTGGGACTGGACACTACTAATACGCCACTAGTACGCTACGGCACGCTACACGGTATGTCAAATTAGTATGCCCCGGAAGGAATAGAGGGTGAGGAGATACTTTTTCGTCGGGTACCGTCGTATGACGGCGGTGACGAACGGCGAGCAATACTTACGTCTTTGACAGCGGCCCAGACATTGACCTCCACCACCACCACCACCCCATCGCGATTCGTTTGGTCTGAGGGAAGGATAGCATCTCAAAATAGTATTGCACAAGTTACCCATTGACTTCCAATGCCTTCATCCGTGGTGCGAACGCTGTGGCCCGAGCTCTAAAACTTCAAGCCGCTCGACGATCCGGGAGGATCGGACTGTAAAGCTCCGGAGAAAAGTATCTGGCGACTCCAAGTTATCAACTAAGACTCCTACATTGGCGGTATGGGCGCCCGCTTTGCCCGGTGAATCGATGCTGGAGCGCCCCTGTTGAGAATGTGTGTTTTGTGGGAGAACGTGCCACAATTCGTCATGCACCATTTAGTCCCAGTGATCCGCCTTGACGTATGTTCTGGTGAGGTATCTATTCTTTCCTGTGTTGAATTCCTCCTGAATTGAACCAGTCTACATAAAGCCCATCTTGGCGTAGACTAACGATAGCAGCTAGTCACAGTGTTCATTGGTAACAGATTGATGTGAGAGTTTCGATCACTCGAGGAGCTACAAAAGCGGGAGGCCCTGGTAGCATTAGCGACCTTCCCATTCCGGAAATATGCCCCTCGTCTCACTCGAAGTAGCACTCTCACAGTCGTTTGACTACATTATTATTGGTGATCACGCCTTCAGTACATTATTCCTGCGAGAAAGGTATATCTAACGGTTGCACATTCATTCTAGGTGGAGGTGTCAGTAATCAAAAGACCGGCCCATGATCAAATGCACATACAACTGACTGAAATTCTGTAGACCGCAGGCTTGGTCGTTGCCACACGATTATCGGAGGACTCAAACACATCTGTGCTTGTTCTGGATGCGGGACTTCCAAACTTAGACGAACCTCTTATCAGTGCGTACCCCCGCCGCGATCTCTATCCCAGTATCTCCCCTCATCATGCATCGTCGAAATAGCTCGTATGGGTCAATACGGCTTTCAATTTGGCAACCCTCAATTTGACTGGGGCTTCAAAACGGTTGGTGGTAGCCTCAGTTTCCAGACCTCGAGTGCCGAACCGCTAAACTCTGACTCTCGACCTGGTCCTCCAGGTCCCACAGAAACACGTACAGGGAAACCAGTATCCCTGGAACCGGTTGGTATTGAGAATCTTCATATCGAATTGACATGCTCATGTGGTTTCAAAACACTAGTGGAAAGAGCCTCGGAGGAACCTCTGCGATGAACTTCTCCGGCTGGTCAGTTCCGCCCCAAGAAGACATCAATGGTTAGCTTCCCTGACAACCGCCCCTTTCACACGCGCTTTGATGAGCTTTGACAGACTGGGAAAGACTCGGAAATCCAGGATGGAACTGGAACACCTACCAGAAGTATCACGACAAAGCTGTTACGTACGTGCCGTTCGCCTTATTATTACAATCAGTTCCTGATCGTACGTCTCAAGGTACGTCCCACTAGAGGTGTCGACGCGTCCCGATCTAGAGTTTCTCAAAACGGTGTGGGATATAAAGAATCACTCAAGTGGAACGGGTATGTCGTATAAGTGGCACCGAAGGACTAGGATACTAAGATCTTATGAAGGTCCTTTACTTGTCACCCACCCGCGAGTCAGCTTCGAGATTGATCGCAAGATACATGAGGTTAGAGGGTTGTTTTGACTCGCGAATGACAAAAACTCATACGATATCCAGGCTCTTGATGAACTGGGTGTTGAAAAAGCACGAGCTCCAGTGAGTTTGACTTCCTGTTCAAGTCGTATATAGCTGCTGAGTGTTCGATTCTAGGTTCATGGCGACGTACGTTCTTCCTCGTAGCTATCGCCACCTAAGAAGGAATTTGACATGCTGAACATCTCCAAGCCGAAAGGCCACCACGTTATGCTAAGCACGGTTGATCCTCATACACACCAGAGAGCCTACTCTGCAACTGTACGTATTCTATCCAATCATACAGTGAACAATAGATCAACTTCGTTCTTTTCGCAGGCATATTTCAAGCCGGCATCCACCCGACCCAACTTATTCGTCTTGCCTACTGCCTATGCTCACAAAATCGTCACCGAAGAACAGGAAAATAAGGATGTGGCTGCTACTGGCGTCGAGTTCAGCTATGGAGACGACAAGTCGGTTCATGTAGCCCACGCCACGAGGGAAGTCGTGGTATCAGCAGGGTACGCCAACACGCCTCGTAACTAACTCCGTGACACTGAATCTTTCCGCCTTAGAGCATTGAAATCCCCGCAGATTCTGGAACTCTCGGGTATTGGCCGCGAAGACGTGTTGAACAGGATCGGCGTACCGGTTAAGGTTCCTCTTGCAGGTGTGGGAGAGAACGTTCAAGATCATATCCTCTTGTCTGCTGCTTACGGTGCGTGATATGATATATCCACGCTACATCATTTGTTTGAGTGAAAGATGGGGTATGATAATGTGCTCACTTTTGCATCATACCAGAGCTGAAAGATAGCGCACAAACAGAGACTCTAGATGTCCTGCGTGATGAGAAGGAAGTCCCTCGGCAAATTGAACTCCTGTGGGTAGCGTTCTCGACTCATGAGTCATCGAATGCGACTAACATTTCAAACAATTCCAGTACAAAAGGCGAAGGAGCGTACGCCACAGGTATCACCAATATAGCATGGGTACCCTTCTCCGATATCACTTCCAAGGCGGACGCATTGTACGAGCAACAAGGAAGACGGATACGTGAAGACGCCAAAAACGGAGTGTACCCGCCTGGACTGATGGACCAATACAAGATTCAGCTACAGAGGTTCCAGGATCGTGCTTACCTATCTGAGTTCGGCAATATTCCTGGTTTCTTTGCGCTTGATAGTACGTCAACCATGCTCCCTTCCTCTCGATGACCGTGGCTATAACTCTTTGGTCAGAACCACCGGTTCCTGGCAAGAAGTACTTTGCTTTCTTCGCATTTCTCAATCATCCATTCTCGAGAGGGGCGATCCATGCTTCGTCGAATGACCCGTTTGTCCATCCGGATATGGATCCCCGTTATTGGGAACATGAGATTGGTTCGTAGGTTTCGTCTGGTTGAAACCCGCTTCTCATAGTCTGCTTCCCCCCCGGACAGATAAACAAGCTCTAATTGAGGGGATCAAATATGTTAGGAAAATCGTACAGACGACAGCTTTGCGAGATGATATTGGTAAGGAAATGGTTTCCTCCTTGTTCTAGGTTCGTGGCCGTTGAAGAGTTTTTTGACAGAGGTGGAGTATACCCCAGGCCCTGAGTATCAGACCGATGAGCAACTGGCAGGTGAGCTCCTACCAAAATATCTCCTCTGATTATCAGCTGAAAACACGACCACGACTCCAGAATGGGCTACCAAGGGGCTATGTACGACATATCGTGCGTTGTTTCTTTCCTATTTTGACGGTGTCTGGAATTGAAACTCATACCTCCCGCTTAAAAGACACCGCGGGATCTTGCTCGATGCTTCCGAGAGAGAAGAACGGGGTAGTGGATACCCATCTCAAGGTCGGCCTAGCGCCCTGATATTGTTGGATTCCAACTCAGAGAATGATTCACAGGTCTATGGGACGACGAATATAAGGGTGGTGGATTTGTCGATCGTACCACTCCATATCTCAGCTCATACCCAAGGTAAGATGATGAGCGGTCTATGTTTACAACTTAGCGCGACTGAGCCCACCCTTCTAGCCACTGCATACACGATAGCAGAAATTGGTGCGATTCAAATTTCACTGCGAGCATTATCTTTCGAACCTGATGGCATTCCATAACCATAGCGTCGGATATCATCAAAGGACGATTCGACCCTCGGGCTTGAGGCTTGAATGTTGAAGCTTTGTCGATCTATTACCCAATCTGTACATTGAGCTTGAAGTTGAATACACATCGAAGGAAGGATATAACCAATGGCAAACTCTCATAATCATCGGTTCAGTGGTCTAGTGGTTATGATTTGTGTCTCACATGAAAGTGAACCAGTAGTGTGCCCCACACAAGGTCCCCGGTTCGACCCCGGGCTGAACCACTTTTTTTGCCTTTGGACGATGTGCCACCGCCAAATAGCCAGCATTTCTTTTTTACTTTTCGTGTCGAGTGCGTCTCCAAAAACGCCAGAGGATATCAAAAAAAAAAAAAAAAGTTGCATTAATCCAGGAATTCCTGTCTCTATAAGTTTAAGCGAAAGTAACGACGACGGACCCAACATCATGAATAAATACCGTATCATAGCAAAAGAAAAAAACGTAAAAAAAAAAAAGTCCACATCACACTAAAATCCCAGTCTCCCTCATACAGGTCTAGGACTAGGCGATATCCGCACATCTCCCAGAGACTGTGCTTGATGGCTATGCGGGTTGACCGGTGACTGCGTTCCAGATCCACTTCTCCTCGGGGTATGTCTCCCTCTCCCTCCTCCTCCAAAGGGACTCCCACTAGCACTCCTCGACCCACTCCTCCCATGGGCATGTAACCTCGTCCTCTCATCCGCATCCTCGTCCTCATCATACTCATCCTCCTCCCTCAACTGATGTAACCCAACAGGTTCCCTCCCCGGCCCCGGTCTCCTCATATCCTCATCATCAACTCCAAACGCACTGAACAGCGTATTCGTCTGTGCTCTATACAACGAACTCCTCCTCCCCGGCCCCGGTCCTCCCAACCCCGCAGACGGAGGCCCATGCTCAACAATCCCATGCCACCCATCAATCGACAACCTCCCCGTCAAACTAACCCTTCTCCTATGCGCCGGCATGGCCTCCGCCTCTGCCTCCGCCTGCGCTTCCTGGTCTTTCCGAGATAGATTTAAGATGTGTACACCGAGGAAGGTGACGATGAATCCGCAGAGGAGAGAGACGGTGTTGGTGGTGTCGTCGGTGTTGAAGCCTTGGAAGAGGATGAGGGAGGCGACGATGGTGGCGGAGGAGAAGCCGACGTAGTACATCGGGTTTACGCTGCACAACGAAAGAAGAAAAAGGCGAAACGTTGAGCATACACGGTTTTGAGATGATGGGGGAAGGAAGAAACCCACATATTAACAGAAAACGTATCCAACGCCTTATTATAATAATTCATCTGCACCAGTATGCAGAAAATCGATATAAACCCAAACACATACGTGCTCAGATGCACGAATTGGTTTTTGCCGCTGAACGTCAACTTGACCGCGATACCGAATCCTTTGATCGCCATGACCGAGACTGAACCGACGAGGGAGCATATGGATATGTAGACCATGGGATTTGTGCGACCGTAGCGGGGGGAGATGCTGTATACCATGATCATGGAGAAGACGAGGACGGTGAGGACGTAGAGAAGGAAACCTAGAGGGTAGGGAGAGGGGAGGTGTGAGCATTGGGTATGTGGGAGGAAGCGAGACGAGACGAGGACGCACCAGGCTGAACAGCATATCCCAAAATCTGATCCACCGTATCCACTGGTGTATCCTCCGGTGCGTGTAACACGATAATCAACGACCCGATCAACGATAGCCCGCACCCCACTCGTCCGAGATGGCCTAGTTCTTCGTGTAAGAGGAAAGACGCTAATACGGCACTGTACATGGACATCCCCACCGTCAGCGAACGTTGAAATAGTAATGTTGTAGGAAAAGACTCACCCGATGAGAACACTCAACGCACCCAACGGCGTGACTAGAATTGGCGGTGCGAACGTGTACGCAGCAAAGTTTGCCACTAAAAGGGAAGGGAAAAGAGAGCTTAATTTTGCATTCAACAGGACAGGACGGGGAAAACGACAAAGTACCTTCACCCAGAATAACTACCCAACAAAAATCCATCAGCACTACTCGCACGCAACAAAAAGAGGCAAACGCACGAGTCGACATCCCAGCCCACCATATCGGATTCTTCAAATACGACAACGAATCCGACGCTACATCTCCATAACTATTCTCAGCCGCAGCTGCGTTCAACCCCTACCAACCAGTCCAATTATCAGACGGAGCAGAGTAGAGGTAGATGATTACCCTACCTTTTTAGTGATAATAGAGCTCATCCCGATTGCCATTGAACTCGAGATGGCTAGTGCGAGACCTATCCATTTGTCGTCGACGCCCATAATCGTATGTCGTGCGTGGTATTAGAGCAAGAGAGAAGGAGAGCAAGAAAGAAAGAGCGGAGGTCGTTGTGGGCCACAGGCTCACAGGTGTAGGTGATGGGAGGGACGGGACAACGTTGAAGTTTGTTGGCAACCAAGCGCCGTGCTGTCATTTGACAATCGGACAATAAAGAATTTTTAAATTTAAATTTTTAGACGTGGGAAGATCACGTGACTGATAACTCCCAAACGAGTTTCGCCTCTCGAGCTCGACTCAGTTGAGAGCTCACTACCGTCGCTAAGAATGCAATGATAGAGATAATTATACAGACCGATCCATTGGTCGTAAATGTGCCCAATGGTTTGATAATTACACGACATGATTTGAAAGCGCGAATAGAACGAGAAAAACTGTCATAAGCGATCGTGATATGCAAGAGGGGGAAGAAAAGGAAACGTTGAGCGGAATAGTATCTATCGTCCGTGATGTCTCCAATTAGTTCTCCTCCTTCAACTCTTCCTGAATAGCCTTCTTCCCTTCTTCCGTGAGTACAGGAATACCAGACTCTATATCTTGCTCAAAGAACACTGGAACGAACCTACAACACTGTCAGCACAAGGAGCCACCAAATCCAGAAAAAAGATCCAAACACTCACTCAACACCCTTCTTCTTCCTCTCAGCAGCCTCATCCCTCTGCCTCTGCTCAATCCCAATCTTCTCCCTCGTCGCCTCCGAAAACTCCTTCTTCAAAAGCCGACTCGTAACCCCATCCCAAAGCTTCCTACTCTCCTTCTCCCCCTGCCTCTCCAACTCCCTCACCTGCTTCGGCACAGCCCAAAGCGTACTCAGATCAACCAAAACCCGCCACTGTTCGTCGTCCATCGTCGTCATCAAATCGCTCCTACTCGAAGCTCCCTTATGGTCGCTCGGCGAAGGCAACACGACGTGCGAGGGGTCGGGAGAGTTTGTAACAGAGTGAGCTCCACCGGAGAGGACGTGTGAGGGGTATGACCCCGTTCCGACGCGTTTCCATCGGATGAGTCCACGCCAGGTTCCTTCGAGCGTGGCGACGACGCGGGATGGGGGTACGTGTTTCACTTTGGTCCATTCTTCGTGTTGGGTGTCGCCTTCGGAGACGGTGTGAATGACGCCTTCGATTAGGTAGTGGGGTTTGCCTAGCCAGGACTAAGAAGCAGAAGCGGGGAATGAGAAGAAGAAAAACGGGGTTGATGATGTATGAAGGTCTCACCTCTTCCTTATACTCGATAACCGTCCTAAACTGCTTCCCCCCACGACCAGAGGTACACGTTATAACGATACTCTCCGTAACCGTAACATAAAAGCTCCCTCGCAACAACCCGTTCACACTAGCAGTAGGGTGTGTAACACGGTAGAGCTCTCCAGAGCCCTTGCCCCCCGTAATGCGCACAAACATTCCTAAAAAACGAAATGACACATAAGCTGAAAGCTCGCTCGCACATCCCCATACAAGAACCCACCCTTATTCTTAACCCCCGGACCCACTTTCAACACCGTCCCCGATATCCTAGCAATAATCTGATCAACCCCAAGCAACTCCACATGTCGATCAGGACACGACCCATAATACGCCGAAATCGGTGGATGATGCGAGATCTGCTCCGTCAAATAAACAACTCGGATCTTCCTCTTCTGTTCGTCGTTCAACTCGAGAACAGAAACCTGATTCGCAACGTCCTCCACCACCTGCCCGTCCTGTTGTGGAGTCGTCGCAGCCGTAGAAGGGGATTTGTTCGATTTGAAACTGCTCTTCGAGCTACGTTCGCTGGCGATGCTAGCTGTGTCGGAGGTACCTCCCGTACCGGGGAGACTGAATTCGGGTTGTTCAGATCCCGTTGTAGGCTTGGTGACGTGGGTCTGGGGTATAGGGGGCTCGTCGGGTTCGGTAGTCGAATGTGAGATGGGTGGGACATCCCAGTGCGTGCGGAAGTGTTCGCCTAGGACAGAGTTGTAGGGTTTGCAGACTTTGCCGCGCTAAAGAGGGAGGGGAGAGCGACGTCAGTGCGGGAACAAGCTAACAATCATAATCATGTGCAAAAAAAGGACGGAATGGTAAAAGGGCCGAGGATATCGAAAACGAGATGGTAGGCAAATTCCTTTTCGGAATCCTTGCGTCGACTGGAGACGGTCTGGGTGCTACGTGGTAGCACCGACTTGGGTTGCTTGCCGACGGTTACAGTTACAGCAGATGGCAACTTTTCGCTCCGGTTCCAAATCTGCCCCATGCCAGCACACAGCACACAGCGCAACAACCAAAAAGAAAGGGGGGAAGAGATATCGAAAGGGAGGGGGGGAGAGACACGTACAATATACTTCAAATCCTTCGTCATCGTCCATCTTATCACAGCCAACATCCGTTCGAAAGGGTCATCATAGTCATTGATCCTGCATAAAAATCCAAAATCCAATGAGTACCCCCTCCAAACATGCCCAAGAAAACAAGCCTCTCGCGACTCACGATGCAAAATAATCCGGTCTATCGAGGTATTGCGAGAATTCTAGGTTGGGCATAGGTTCTAGTAGTGACGCCGGTAACGAAAGTCGCCTTTTGATGTTATGTATACGTCAATCCCAACCAATTCCAACGAAGACGAAGAGAAGAGAAAGAAAACGCACATTGAAGCAATATCCTTCACCCCAAAACACTTCTTCACAAGCTGCACAATCATCTTGAGTTTACCTCCTTCCCCCGTATCACCCGTGTCGGGAACTGATATGGGCGGTCCTGGAGCACCTTCGTCGACGGGCTCTTCGACTTCTGATTTGGTGTCTTTGCTCGTCCAGGGAGCCATGGTGGTAGAGGAGGACTAGGAAAGAAGGATAAGATAAACGAGGAGGAGATGGAAAGAGGTGGTGGTGATGGATGGTGGTGACAAGTAAAAGGCTATTAGGTGCACGGACCACCCACCACCACCCCGATGAGGTAAAT